GCTATTCGTCTATTCTTACTCATTTCACTCTAATTAAAAGCAGAATGACATCGTGCGAGAGAGAGAGAGAGAGATACAAATTGTTTCGTGTCACAAATTGTTGTCGTATCTTAAATAAATTAACGTTCTTCGAGTGAAGTTGTACAACCTCTATGCGACTGACACAAGTTAAACATGGTTAAACTCGATGACCTCGTACGTGCATGTCGCCAATCACGTACGCTTTGTCGATAACTGTTCACATGTGTATTCTGTGTTGAACTATTTTAATGTTCAGTCAACAAACGCACGTGTTATATACACACGCGATACGACATAGATTGACTGTTAGAAGATCACGATTTGCATTTTTTATTGGCTTTTATTACTTGTATGTAAATCGCCGCAATGGAATGTACATAAATTCATGTGCTATTTATACAACCATTGACTAAGGTCAGAATAGATATGACAGGCAACGTTTTTTCACGTTCCACGTTTTTGAAGATCACTTGCCCTCCTTGCTATTTTCCACTCAGCGTTATCTGTTCCATGTAACATGTAGTGGTGAACGTGTTTTGAATTAAAGTTACATATTGATATGTCTTGTGACGTTACAAGAATTAAATGTGTAATATCTTATAACCATATATACAAAAGAGAGCCTGGCATTTTGTGTAATAGAGCAATAAACAATAAGTATATTTCTTTATATTCTACTCCATGCGAACCTATATATGTAATACTCTCCAATTTTAATATGTCGTGGCTGCACAAACGTGGACAACTAACATCTAATTTGATGATTTTTCCAACGAATCCCGGACGATTGATCTTGATACTTTAACGAGGAGTAACGTGGAGATATCATTTAGGAATGAGAAACCTCAGAATTAGTCACGGTCACGATTAAATTAATTGCATCCTGGATGGATAAGTCTGTCGATAGACGATCGCGTTATTTTTCGAATATCAGCAGTTAAATAATGGCAAATTAATAATTTCAGATAATCGGATTGAATGATGAATTTTTGCAGAAAGTTTGGATAATAATTGTACTACACTAACTACTGAGAATTATAGACAAATAAATCAGATGAGAGAAGCTAAGAAACACAAAATAAATGTTGTAAATTAATAAATAAATCATACAAGTTATTAGCTTTCTACTACGTTATATAACAATTTAGAATTAGTGTTTATACGAGTAGTTTGAAAATATCAATAAATCAGAATATTGTGAGATTTGCGATATTAATCATAAAATCTATTGCAGATATATCCATAACTGAAGCTTCAATTATGGGATGATCGTTATACTGATCGATTAAATGAAGATTTATATCCAAAGCTATGTGCACAAACTTTTCGTACATACCTTTGACTATATTTTCAAACCATTCTGATCCAAATTTCAAAAATAAACTGCGAGTGATTAATTCATTTAATGGAATTTCTAAATCTTTATACGTGCATTTTTTTATTGCCAGAATGAAATATAGGAAGAAAACCGACGATCAAATTTCAAAGACGTGATTGAAAGAGTTTACAAAATAATCCTCTTATTATTAGTTGGTTCTCTTTACAAATGAGATTATGTTTTCATGGACGTGAAACATTAGTGGCAGCGCTGTGAAACTAATTTACTCACCGTGAAACTGAAAACTCGAATCAGGGCATGTCAAGCTGCATATTTTAATTATTCAGAAATTAAATTATAATTCGGTGCCACTGAATTGTAAAATCGAAACTGCCTTTGTATTATGATCATTCTGATTTCTTACGTAATTAGTTTATTTCATAGAATTAGCACAAAAAGACTACTTGTGGACCTGACGGTGCCATCTGTCGGTAAATATTGACATTAACAAAAAAGTAAATACATATTTATTCGTATTACAAGTCAAACACGGAATACTATGTAAGCCGAGGATCTAATTAGGCGATCACTGTTGCAAAAGTCTACGAATTAATAGCAAAAACTAGTCTTTTCTGCAATTAATTTGAAATGACGTGTTTTGGACATAGCGACGTTATCTCTCGATAAATATTGGTAACTTTACTACCGACATTTATCGACAGATGACGTCACCATACCCGAAATGGAACAGCGTTCTGATTGCGTAAGAAATCGTACAATCAGAGATTTCAAGGGCGGTAAATTTAATTTCTGTTCAAAAATACTTACAGGTTTTTTAGTTTTATTATTGTTTCATTTATTCTTTCGTGATTTTTAGTTTTAGTACCAAATTCAGTCTTCCATGCTTAGGGTATCCTGGTTTTAAATCTATAAAGGATGTTTCTCTTGTCCCACCAGCATACAGAATCACTGCATGATTGCATACAGGATAGGTTTTTCTCGCGAATTTGATAAAAGTTTACATTGTGACATTTTTCGTTATTTCTGTGAATTTACTGTATTTATATTGTTGAAGAGAAGGAGAGAAGTTGGTACTTTTTCGTCAAACTGTGCTACGATACGATTTCAACGATTTATCGCCATTTTTCACCAACATGCTCCATCACTTACAATTTATAGTTTATATTACAGTATCGACTTGTCCGATTCGTAGCTTCGTTCACGTGTATACGCATGGTTTGCCCACGCTTAGGTTATGTTTCGAGAGGCATGTTTAGAGGTTATGTGACTACAACAAAATATTCATTTCTTCGAAACGAAAATCTCTGACGATTACGACGGTAATCGTAATCGTGATATCGTGCAATAATTTTGATAAAGTTTATTTATCGCAAAATGCCGAATGATGTCGAAGGTTTTATCGATTTCAGATTACAAAGAGAAATATCACGAACATGACAACGTTATACGTCGTCGATCATCAGTCGTCGTATTTTTGGACGGATCGTTCTAGAAACTGAGGATGAGATTTCTGCTGTTCGGACTATCCAGGTACGGCGTGCGCCGTAACTCAGGACTACGGGAGTTTCGACGTTGGCACGCGATTTCGTATAAAAATGTCGAACCAACATCGAGAAGGAAATTGGACGCGAATGTCCTATCTGTGCGCGATAAACTGTTATATTGCGACTACTTGGACTTGGAGAACGTGCAAACGGGTTTCAAAAAGAGGAAAACGTTGGAGAAATTGCAGCGCGCGGAAGAAGAAAGGGAAAGGTACGAGGAGATTGCACACAAACCCGTGTTCAGCGTTCTGTTGAATAATCGAACGACGAGTAAAGAGAAGGTCGATTCTCAGAGCGAAGAGAACGACAAATGGGGAACCGCGGTGAAAGAGAAGCCTGTGCACATGCCGTACGCGATGGTAGATTCGTACGAGATGATAAATTCGTCGGGAGCGTGCAACGATGCCGAGGTATCAAGCGAGGAGTACGAAAGTTTGCACGATAGTTATTTGAAGGTAAAGACGAGCGGCTTGACGCAGCTGAATTTCGAGGATTTCGTCAAGACGATGGAAAAGAGCGTGGATCGTGGATGGAGTATGCCGCAGGGTGAGTTGTGGAAAATACCAGACAACTGGATGACCGATTACGAGCAGTTCGACGACTCGTTGATGAACTGGTACGCGAGGTACGGCACGCCGGATCCCGATTCGAAAGTGAGCTCCGTGCCGTGCGGCGGTTGCGGTGCTTTGCTCCACTGCAGAGATCCAGCGATTCCCGGATACTTGCCGTCGGAATTGTTCCCCTTCAAAAATACCGACGAGCTGAAATCGACGATATGCCAGAGATGCCACTTTCTGAAGTTCTACAACGCGGCGTTGGAGGTGAAGGTATCGATCGAGGATTACCCCAGGCTGTTGAAAGTGATCAAGAGCAGGAAATGCGCCATCGTCCTGATAATCGATGTGACCGATTTCCCTTGTTGCATTTGGCCCGATCTGAAGACCATCTTACACCCTTTCACGCCGATTTTTCTGGTTGGCAACAAGGTCGACTTGCTGCCCAAGGACTGCCCGTCGTTTCTTGAGAACGTGAAACGACGGCTGATAGACGCGGTGATCGACATAACCGGCGTGAAGAGAGAAAACATCACACACGTGCAACTCACGTCCGCGAAAACCGGATACGGCATAGAGCAGCTGATAAATAATTTGCAGAACAAGTGGCAATACAAAGGTACGTGTGTACGTGTGTATAATTTCAAGCGCTTTTTGCTTATGACGTTTTAATAATTAAGTATTGCTCGTAACTCGTAAGATACAATGCTAATGCTCGATGATATGTTTCAGGAGACGTTTATTTAGTTGGTTGTACAAACGTTGGAAAATCTTCGTTGTTCAACACCTTGATAAATTCCGACTATTGCAAGGTACAAGCTATCGATTTGGTGCAACGCGCTACAGTGTCCGCTTGGCCGGGGACCACGTTAAATTTACTCAAGTTTCCAATTTTAAATCCGACTGGCAAGAAACGTTGGTTAAGAACAATGAGACTAGTCGAGGAAACGTCTTACAAGATGTCGGAGTTAGAGTACAATAATTTAAAGTTTAAAGAAACCAGGAACATCAAATATGCGACATTGAAAGGTAATTGAGTAATCTCGTTCCCGGTTAATAATTCTGTTCGTTTGAAAGATCATGCTTGTTTATTTGTTTGTCTGTAGATCACGTTGGTAAAACATTTATTACGAGATCGTCGAGCAATCCAATGGCAAATCCCTTCTCCGAGACGTCGCACAGATCCATGTGTGGAAACTCCGTCCTCGACGAGTCTAGACCAGAGTACAAGCAAACTCGTTGGTGTTACGATACTCCGGGCACAATTCAGATCGATCAGATACTAAATTTGCTGACCACCGACGAACTGTTGCTCACGCTGCCGCAAGAAATCATCTCACCGAGAACTTTCATGTTCAAGCCTGAACAAACCGTGTTCGTGGCTGGCATGGGAAGGTTGGATTACCTCGAAGGAGAGCACTTCATACGGTATACATAATTCGTACCTGGTTGTACGAATTAGGAAGAATAGTCATTTTCAAAATTCAGTTCAGTTTTTCTTTTTCCTTTCTGAATGAAACAGATGTACGTTGTTCGCGAGCAAACATCTACCTATAACGATGTGTCGGACCACAGATGCCGACGAGGTGTACGATCGTTTGTTGACTACGAAAGCTTTCGTCGTGCCTGTCAACGATCCGGAACGGTTAAAATCGTGGCCGAAGCTGTTGAAATCGAAAGAGATGAATGTGGTCGGCGTGGACAGAGAGGAATCCGTTGCTGACGTCGTACTGTCGAGTATAGGTAAATTTAGCTAGTAAACTGATAAGCGGTGAATTTCATCCAAATAATTGTTGATAATCGACAGGTTGGATCGCGATCACGCCTTTCGAGAACGAAAGTGCCTTGTTGAGAGCGTGGACGCCTCAAGGTCGCGGCATATACTTGAGGAGCCCGCCACTGCTGAGCAAATCAGTCAGTCTTCGGGGTCGCAAAGTTCAGGGTACACCGATGTATCTGTTGGGCCGACAAGTATATATACGTTAAAGGTTAAACCACACGATATCACGCGGTCTGGTCTTTCCTCGTCCAAAGGACCGATCGAACGATGTTTTCAGCCTGAAACTTTCGTGTAAATACATACACACATTTGTAGAAATCGTTGCGAACTTTTTGCAACAACTCCTGCGACGCATTGGTAATAAAACGTTTCTTTGTTTTTTTTTTTTTCTCCATTCAATTTCACTTCACTAAGAAAAATTAGGTTAATGGGCGAGACGAGCTGTGCGTTTTACTTGCGACTCTTTCGGGGACTGGGACGGATGACCGGAGTCCTCTGCAAAAGCAACAACAAGGACAAGAAGAAAACGTTCGAAGAAAAACAAAATGGATCGCACGAAGCGCGTGATGAACTTATGTAGAGGTAGGCTGCCGCGGCACCGAGTCGTCTTTCTGCAGACGAGCGCGACCGTTCGTCGAGTTCTCGAGCAATTTGTCGCATTTGCTGGAAAAATAACACTTGTACTTGAAGCAGACGGGGCAGCTGTCGAAGATGTGCAGATTGCCACAAACGGAGGGGACTCGGCGATATCTTGATATCGATGGATCGAGCTCCATGTTGATGGTGTCGGTGGTGTCAATGCAAATATCGTGTTTCATCGGGCTGGTCCGGGTGAGTCCATCTCGATACGAGTATTCTACGTCGTTACAGCACCGTGTGCTGCGACAATATATATTGAATTGAATGCTTCATGTAGCTTTGAGAGTTGAAGGTTTAGAGTTGACAAATGAAAAACTAGAATAAAGAAACGATTCTACTTACGAGCTGCAAATCTGAGGTATCGTCTTGGCACGACTGTGACAAACTTTTCGTTGCCTGATGATACCTTTGACGGGACGTTTCCTGTGAGCGTGGCACTTTTGCTGAAAATCGTGATAGAAGTTGAGATAGAAGTTGAGCAGCGGGAATCGCGAATGTAGTGTCTTTACCTTAGAGTCGATCGTCTTTGGATTGACCACGTACTGTCCGTCGAGATTCTCATCGTAAATAGTTTTCACCTCTTCTATCACAGTGTTCGTGGAAATTTCTATCTTTGGTGCTATGATACCCTATTGGAGAGCGTTTAGGTTAGGTAAAAGGTGCGCGAGCGCGTGTCTATCGTATACAGAGTGACTCTCATTCGCAATATTCGAACAGTCAAATATTCAAACTGTTATAATTTTAAAAAAGAACGCGATCATACAACAATAAATCTGAACTCGTTTTACAGTCTCTCAAAAGCTTTCAAAAAGCATCGTTCGTTTTGTTCTATATTGCTTATACGTCACACAGCGGGTAGATGATTGAAGATACTTATCTTTTCGAAAATACTATAAATGCGCATAAAGACGGTGAGAAATTTTTTTCGCGACTAAATCTACGACGAGTTCGATGATTGAGCACGTCCGAAAATTCGACGTATGATTTCTTTTTCACTACTTTTCGTCGGAGGAATTTCGTCGTTTCGTTCGTTTTTCGCCTGAAATTTAAAATTCAAAAATTGGCAAAAAAAGAATTCGTACAGTAATTCGTACTTTTGAGAAGTCGCGAAAAAGATCTTTTACACACTGTGACAATTTGTAGCATATTTTCGAGAAGAAAAGTATCTTCACTTTACCATCTGAGCTACATAGTGAAAAAACATCTTGGAACAAAATGAAAGATGCATTTTTAAAACGATTTGTTTTTGCAAAATTACAACAGTTTCGATATTTAGCATTGGAATGTTAATGCATTGTACGCCAATGGTTCCCAATCTTTTTGTTGGCCATGCACCATCTAAGCATCTCTAAAATCCTGATGTCCCACCTCTGTGACACATAATTATTCAAAAAGTGAATTTTTAACGTGGAGCAAGCCTGAACTTCAAAGTTTAAATAAGCAAAGAAGGTTCAAAGAAGACATCCGTGCAAGAAAAAAATAGAAAAATGAAAGGACAGTTGTAAGTAATTTGAAGAAATTGCTAAAAAACTGAGATGAAAGCGACATGATAAACAGCGAATAAAGACAAGACCGGGAACGCCACCTGTGCGTTGCTCGTTTCCCTAATTTCCGAGGTTTCTACCTACGCGACGATAGATGGGAGTAGTTTGCAAGCAAAAGTGAAATTTTCATTTAATACGTTCCATGCCACATGTACCATTGGTGGTACACGATGTGATAACTACTCTATACAAGCTAATTAGTTATGGATTGATGACGTAACGATCATTTTTCTGTCAAAGCCCATTCTAATCTTTAGTCAAAACGTCAAATGGCATGAATGAAAACGGCTCTGCACGGAACGTTAAAGAAATGCAAACAATTTTCACTGTGTTAACAACTCATTCTCGAATTGCCCGACGTTGGGAACCACGGCTGTACGCAGTGGGAAGGCAAGATACCGACGGGGAAATATTTGCTGGGATCCATGAGCAGATCGACGTCGACACCGGGCAGCAATCGTCTGCACTGAGCCACCGGATAGAGGAGATCCGTCAAGCTGGTGTGAAAGGTAGCCAAAAGAACGGGCTGGTTGCACGGGCTGAGCCATTGTATCAGTTCCGCGTAGAGGGGCTGTCGTTCCAGATTCCGTTGCAACTCTGTCAAAGCAGCCAGCCGTGTGAACGTTTTCTTAAAGTTAAACTCGTTGTGAAATAATAGTGGAAAAATCGGCGATACTCGGTGAGATTCGAGAGTGGAGCCAAAGCTGGTTATGCGCAGCGCTACTTTCCCGTTAGGGCACAGCCATACACCGGGGCACGTGATCTGCAAGATGAGGTTAGTCGATGGAACTCTGACTCGAGAGAACGACGAATGATAGTTCGATTATTCTCCGTTCGTGGTGTATGTATATATATATATATATATATATATAT